ACAACATCAGCCAGCTTAGCTTACAGGCTCTTGCCTGCGGGACTCGCTTCTACCGAGTCCCAAGTGTGAATTATATTGAATGTTTACCCTTTCTCTGTAGGTTACAAGTCTCTGTTCTTCAACTGGTCTGAATCGGCCTTGGCCTTCGACAAACCTATCTCTGCTGCCCCGATTGTGTGTGGTCCAATTCCATCATACTTGCCCCTACCTGAAAACTACGTCTGGGACTAACCGGCCCAGAGGACAGCGTCCCGGTCCTACCGACACTCTACTAATGGCCCACCGCAACCCTATTGAACCGAGTGCCCTGGTTCCGCCTACAGTGTACTTGGTCCCACAGTGGTCGTGCTCTCTTGGCCCTGTCATACAGTAGCCGGTAGATCCAGTACCCATTTCGACAACACCAAACCCTTCTTTGGATGAACTGTTGCCAACTTGGGATTCCTGGCCCACGTGCGTGAGAACTAACTTATTCCGTTCCTACTGCCTTTCCCCGACTTAGCTTTCCTTCGCTAGTCCACCTGAATGGCGTGCTTCAGACTTCGCTTGATGTGAGACTTGGTTTCCAAGTCTGAAAAAGGTCACTTTTGGAATCTTGCGCGATTCCTGTCAAGCCATAGGACTTCGCAGATTATGCCCCTCAACACATGTGCCATGTAACCCGACACGTGCGACGCTGGCAAGTCAGTTGGGAGAAAGCCCTACAACACCCACTTCTCTTCCCAGGACACTCCCTGCCCTCCACATTCCCTCCAGTGATGGGCCCACCAGTTCCAGACTCTCTTTGAGGCCGTACATTCCCACCACAGGTGGCGGGTGGACTTGAAAGGCCACCGGCATCTCGTGCAGCCCAGTTCCACCTTCAACCCTCTACTAACTAGCCAAAGGGGTGACAAGCAGTGAGAGCAACCACAAGATGCTAACCTGTTTTCCGTTCGGTAGGCTGGACATGGTCTTCCACAGTTTTTTAAACTTCGCTTCCGAGTCAGACATGTCCTCGTTCCAGATCGCTTGCCACCGTGGGATTGCAGTTTGGACTGGAGACTTGCGGTTGCCTGTGGAGATTTTGTAGCCGTCCAATACCGAGTAGTCCGACAACTTTAACTCGAGCCGTTCACTGAAGCCGTGGACCAGCCCCATGCCGACGGGTCTATACACATCTTTCTCAAAGGGGTTTTGCCCACCCAGGCGTAAGATTGTGAAAACCTTCTCTTTCCCCATGTCTCCACCACTCGGACTTGCGCTGGGTTATCCCACCCAGTGACTGTTTCCTCCTCTATCAGTGACAAGATGTTGTTTGGGCCCTCGCACCTCCATCTCTCCACCTTGCGAAACCCACTGGTGTGATTTCCAACACTTTCCAGATTACCATGTCTTTTTGTCCCAGATCTGAGACATACCACATACCTGTAGGGTCCAGACCCCCTGGACCCAGCAAATCCAGCCAGTCTTGCGGGATGAGTCCAATTATCTGATTCCGGTGTTCTTCAATCCTCTGCAGGCCCTTTAATGCTTGTTTCACTTCCTCCAACGATCTCCAGCCCCCCAGTGACGTCGACCACAGATCAACAATCCTGACTACTCTGTGCCTAACCCATGCTCGACCGAAGGTACCTGCAGACCTGTGACACCCAACCTCACGCCCAGCGCGACTTCCTGATCGGAGCGGGATGTGGGTCTGGAATTGCGAAAAGGGGTGTGCCAAGGATTTTTGGGAAAGTGGAGGTGGAGTCCCAGGTCGGAACTGAGATCTCCTGTGGCGGGGGGTCAGGGGCATAGGTGCAATAAGGCTAAGGGACGGGTTACTTTCGGTCTGATGGTGGTCAATGTCGTGCAACATAAGGCAGACGGCATGCGCGATGCATCCTAGGTCGTCCGATCCGCTTATTTTAGTGGCGGCGGTTCGGGAGAGGTCCGTCCGTAAGGGTGGCGGTTTCTATGAGTCGGACCTCCGGGTGGGGATACGTGGCGATTGTCGTCGCGTGTTATGGTTAGGCTTCGTATTTCTAGAGGCTCGGCGGTTGCCGCATCGTCTGCAATTTCTGCACGGCGTGTGAGGCCAATACGGGGCTATGGAGTTCCACGGAACCATCGTGAGCTGGTGGTATTGTAGGAGGATGCGAAAGGGAGGGAAATTGGTGGCGATAACGACGAAGCGGGGGGATATGAAATATTGGGTGTTATACGTAGTTCGGTAGTCGGGAGCCCTCGGGTCGCTGGTTACGGCACGGGGAAAGTCCCTGGCGCACAATCGGTTCTCGGTTAGACAGGGAAATTTCGGATATCTCAGCCTAAGATGCTCTTCCTCCCAGTGTTCTAAGTATTTTGAATCCCGCAAACTCTCCCGGTTCGCGATGTACGGCATCTTGTCATTCCGGTGTACGTATCTGATCGTGCTTCGATTAACAAGGGAATTTCCGGGTATGGTGGCGGAAATTCCTATCGGCCCAAATCCTTGCAAAAATAAAATTTCACGCTTATTCTAATACCGGAGGTGCCAAGTTCGTTAGTGATCGTGAATCGCCCGCGTGTGCACGCGTGTAGGCCGCGCTGATCAGATCGCACTTACACGTGCACACACGAGGTGTTCGGTTGTACACAGGCCTGTTGGCGGATTACTGTGCAAAAGTGAAAATTCAGTCTCTTGTGCAAAATCTACACGTGGCGCAGGCAACCACCCCATTACCTAATCATTCAGCGATCCAACAAACAATCATTTTCATTCGTACAAAATGACATCGCATACGTCAGACACCGCAACGACATCAAACTCGTATCATGACGACAACAGATCAAAATGACAAGCAACGATGATGACTAGGCAAAAACGACAAGCATATCATTCCATCAGAACTTGGTTATCCAACACACACACAAAAGAGAAAGGATCAAGACTGAGTAGGACACCATACAAGGGCCAATGTTGAGACAAAGATGCCGATGAACATAAGGGCGAATTGCCCGAACCGAAATCAAAACTTATATACAGAAGTAAGGAAAGGACAAAGAAAATTACAACTCCACGTCCGTCAACCTCCGCTCTCTCCCTCTCTCTCTCCGATGCGGACAGTCCGTCGTCTCGCACCAACCCACGAAGTTGTCACCCCGCTTAATCCTCTTGTGCCCGTCGGATTCGCTCGCGCGCTACAATCCGTTGTAGCCCCACGTGTCAATCCCGCACATTCAGCACCAGCTCGCCGGGTCGCCAAACTCCCACTTCAACTCACCTCTTACTTCACTCGTGAGCCGACCCTCACTGATCGCGCTACCCCGAGCTTCCAACAACTGTTTGAGAGAGATATCTAATCGCGGAGCCGAAATTTATAGCGTGCATGCTTGCGCGAAAAACATGGAATTGCAAGGACTTAGAAGGAGAGAAGAGGAGGGAGTGCCTACGTTCTGCATGGCCAGATCGCGGCGTGGGGGACGTAGCCACTCTCCACGCATCGATCCGATCATGCAGCCCGCGGGCCGACTAGACACAAGAAAGAAGAGAGAGGGCGGGAAAGACGAAGCTCAAGAAGAAAGATACAGTTACAAGGGTGACCTGTCCAAAATTACAGTTACACGCAAGATTAAGGGCGCTGACTAATCAGAGCTCCGTCGCAGCTGCAAAAAGAAGCGCGTGAGGGAAAAGCACCGCGCGACAAAAAGAAGTTCCGAATTCCTAAATTCCCAAATTCCTATTTACACAAAAATGCAAAAAGAACTTCATTAAAGCACAAATCCCGAAAAGAAAGTATGAAATTCCGAGAGTCATCGAGGGCTCGACAGGATTCGAAAAAAAAATTCAAAAAGTAACAAAACTTCCCGAGCGATCACCGTGCCAAGAACCCGACACCAGAACAAGAAAGAAGCGACGTCAAACATTATTAATCATGCCTCTGTCGGCGCGCCAGCCACTCAATCAACCATCCCGAGACTTGCCCAGCCCTGAACCCAACCATCCGAAAAGAGGTGACGTAAAAAGAAAAGACGAAGAAGCGAGGACACTGATGCAATTTTCCCTTCGATCCCGATCTCCCGTAATTGGCCCAACCTTCCCATCTTAGGACCCCTCATTGTCACCACGCAGAAGATCGCGCGGAACAGAAATTGGTTCGTCACAGACCCATCTGCTGCGAAGGGGTGACCTGAGTGGTCCACAAGCCTTGGGTTTTCAAATAGTAGTTGACCTCTTCTTTGGTAGCCGGGTGGGCTTGGAAGTCCGGCGGGGCTTTCACCCAGGCTTTGCGAATGGATTCCCAGAAGACTGACTCCAGCTTCTTCTTCCTGAAAGAGGGGATGAACCCACATGCCCACACGTCTTCCGGCCTACTCAGGTCCCGTCCCATTCCTCCATCAGTAATCGTTCCGCCAGCGCTTCCCACAGCTCCGGCTCGTGCTGTGTGGCTACCTTGATGATCCAGCTACGCAGTTGCGCTTGGTTTCCTCGGGTGGGGTCTATCAGCCCTAGCCCACCCTCAGTTCTCGGAAAAGTCAGTGTGTCCAGTGCTATTTCGAGATGAAGCCGTCGGTGGCGCTCTGGAGCGCCTGATTGCTTTGAGAATGCCCTCTGCCAGTTCTTTCACTGTAGACACGAACCACAGGATGGAGAACAGTGCTACATTCGTGACCAGTGTTCTCCCACCAGCGACAGGTGCCAGGCGGAACCCTTGTTGTAACAGCAAGCCCTGAGTGGATGAGCCAATTTCTAGGCTGATTAGGACCCCCAAAAATCTCTCCTCCTCTCCGTTCTGTACTCGCCTCATTCCCCATGCTACTTTTAGAGTGAACTTCGCAGCTCCAGTTACAGGGGCATAACTGCAAAACTGCAAGATGTATTTTTTCTGTATCGGAGCGCCAATTTCGATCTTTTCTGTGCTTATTTTTTTTTATATTCGAAACTTTCCCTCCTTCGTGTGTCTTTAGTCAAGAGCGTGCAAGTGCCGAAGGCCTGTGGCCAGTGTGGCGGGCGTTGACGGAAAATATATGGCCGTCCGCTTCCGTCGATTCAGATAGGCGTCGGGCCAAAACCGACAGCCTGCAGTGTAAGCCCGCCATTTTGTCGCGAGTGGTTGTTCGATCGCGCTCCACGTGGGCCGTTGAAGAGTGTACGCAGAAACGCAGGAGGAGATGAGTATGCTTAGAAGTTGAAAACTTCGTCGTAAACGAGTTGAAGGAACTTCCAAACTTGGGCTTTGGAGGAGGAGCTATGGCGGCGGCGCCGTGTCACAATCCTATCTCTGTGTCGTGGAAGGCAGGCTCATGGCAGAGGTCAGAGCCGGAATCGTTTCTGAGAAAGCGGGCGATGGCGCACAATGCCATGGCTCCGTGGCGTCCATTGGCTGCACCGACCATCCGTTCAGCTCGGACGAGATGCTGTTTCACGTGTCGGAGGAGTCAAATGGCGACGGTCGATGGGCTGCTGGGGAGGAAGAGACACGTCGTTCTCGATGGCCAGCGTTGTGGCGTTGGATCCCGATCATTGCGGTGGAGCCCTCACAAACTTGTCGCACAAAGAGAGGAAGGAATCGTGAGAGTGCACTGCTGTGGCCATGCACGCGATAAATCGAGCTCGGCACATATCGGTCAGAAGAGATACCTGTTACCACCTCTCCCCATGTGCTGCTCTTTCTTCTGTCTCTCTCTCTCTCCTCTGTTCTCTCTCTCTCTCTTCTCTCTCTCTCTCTCTGTGTCTCTCAGCTCGTAGAGCAGAGCGTTTCTTGCTGGTCTTGCAACCTCGCAGTGGGGTCGTGTATTCGGTATTGACTTGTTCAGCCCTTCGCTTTTTCACGTCCACACTTGGAATGAGTGGAACAGCGAGATGGCGAGGGGGACGATGAAGATAATGGGTATCGCTCCATTACACAACCTTCAAAATTTTCGATCATCCCGAATGTGTCTGGTCCAACACGTGCTCCAGATCCAGGTCGACTGTTGAGTACTGGAGCGAGGCCCAATGAGGAGGAGGAGGAAGAAGAAGAGAAAGGTCAAAAAGGAGAAGGAGAAGGAGGAGGAGGAGGAGGAGGAAGAAGAAGAAGAAGAAGAAGAAGAAGAAGAAGAAGAAGAAGAAGAGCAGTGAAAGCAGGGGCCAACTGCCCTTCGTACACGCTTCGTAAGTTCTTTTTCTTCAGTACACAGCCGCGCATATTGGTCCCAGCTTACGCGCATATTCCCCGACGCGCGTTCCGATCGGCTGCGCTCCGGTCATCCTCAGGGGGCTTCCCGCACAACGATGCCTTACGGCCCGCCGACGGAGGAGGAGGAGGACGAGGAGGAAGAAGAAGAAGAAGAAGAAGAAGAAGAAGAAGAAGAAGAAGAAAGAAGAAAGAAGAAGAGTTAAATTGAGCGGAAGTAGCGTGGTCAATCACCACGTGTCCATGAACATGAAGCGTTTCAATTACACCACCTCGAGGACATAGCCAAAGTTCTAAACGCGCACTGCCTGAGTGGCTATGTCCTCAGGCAGTCCTCGAGGCCACTGAGATGGCGTTCACGAGAGACAGCCACTGCGCGCAGTGGCTGTCTCTCGTGAACGCTTCGAAAATGGTCATTACAACTTCATGTCCTGCACTCAGCAGCAGCAGCAGCAGCAGCAGCAGCAGAAGAAGAAGAAGAAGAAGACGAAGAATTGAATTGAAATTCCGAGGCCTATCGCTACGCATGCATGCATAAAAAGAAGAAGGATAATGACAAGCAGTGCCAGAGCTGACTTGCATATATGCAAGTACAAAAAGAAGAGAGGACGAAGAACAGATGAAGGGAGCGTGGTGTAGCGGCCACATAGGCATCGGAGGTTGGGAGAAGAAAAAAAGGAAGAAAAAGAGAGAGGAGGTCATGAAGTAGAGGTGATTGAGGGTGGGAGAGTCCCGCCACTGAGATGGCGAGTACGCGGGGATGGCAGAGTATCACATCGTACGTAGTGGTAGTAATCATTCAATGACATCGAACTAGTAAGAAAAGAAAAAGAAGAAGGCAAAAAACAACGAAGAAGAAGAAGAAGAAGAAGAAGAAGAAGAAGAAGAAGAAGAAGAAGAAGAAGAAGAATTGGTCGTGTCTGGAGGAGGAGAAGATCCATCCGCAAACAGCTTTTTGACGAGGGCAGGTGCATGGGATTAAAGGCAAGGCGCTCCGCTCTCATCCATTTCTCATCTTTTTTTCCCCCTGCCCTCGACTCCTGTTGCTGCCGTAACCCTCAACCAAGGCGTTCTCCTCCCCCTCCTCCTCCCCCTCCTCCTCCCCCTCCTCCTCCTCCCAGTTCTCCATGATTATATTCTTTCCTTCTTTCCACTTCCCCCCCCCCCCCCCCCCCCCCCCCCCCCCCCTTCCCTCGGGCACCATTCTTTTCCTCCACGTCGGCACTTGGTCATGATTCCCTTTGCTCGATGAATCTTCTTGTCGTCCTCATCGGTTTCCACCTGCTGATTTCTCGATGTCCTCCTGCTTTTCCTCCTTCACCTGGTCAACTCCCTCCCCCCGCCTTCACGTTGTGTATTCGGCTTTTCCTGCAGCATCTCCCTCTTCCAAAGACGCCTGTGTCTATGCGGGCACCTCCAGTGTCATGAACCCACGATCTCGGGTTATAAGCCACTGTAGACAAAGCGTTTGCCGTTGGAGGAGATGGAAGGCGGGAAGTGGAAGGCGGAGAAGCAAATGAGATCGTGGGTGCGGGGGTGCATGGGTATGGATGTGCCTGCAATTGCTAGGGAGATGCATGGGTGACAAGCTCTGCACCTTCGCTGTCCTTTGGCCCAGGTTCCACCTCCCACCTCCTTTCTTACTTCAGCACGTTGCTGCATCTTACTTTGCGCGCGTTTGTAAGATAACGCTGCATCCACACACTCCTTCGGCCCAACTTCCCCATCCCGAGCTATACTTACGTTGCCACGTGGGTGAATCAATTCCGAAAACCTCCCAGCTTTATCTTACGTTGCCACGTGGCCCCCATCTTACTTTGCGCGTTTCCGAGCAGTGCATCTTGCTGCTCATCTGCTCGGGCATCATGGCGGAAGGAGGAGAGAGTCTCGCTGCCCCACGTGAAAAGAGAGAATCTCGTTGTGCCACGTGACAAGAGATTTTTCTTTGTATCACGTGGTAGGAGATAGTGCCACGCGGCAAGAGATTCTTTCTTTGTGTCACGTGCAGGAACAGTTTTACTGATCATTCAGATGTCCACGTGGCGCAGAAAGGAACGAACTAAAACGAGTGCCGTGCCGTGCCGTGCTGCAGGAAGTAAGGGCCTCGCTCCTTGCTCCACAGTACCGGTAATTGCCAAATGTGAGAACTTGCGAGTGTATCTTCCCATCAAAATTGCAAATATACACTCGCCATTTATTTTTTTCACGTTCGGCGACTACCGTCTTCCCCCGAGCTTAATACACCTTTATAGTGAATGCATACAAGCCATTTTCCCAGTCCGGTACAGTCATGATGAGGGTGCGTTGTGTTCGGGGGAAGACGCTACTTGTGGAACGAGGGAGGCCCTCGTGGGAGTCGGAAGGCCTACAAGCAGCGGCGGCCGTAAAGAAATTGCTTACGGCGGCAAACAGCAGCAGACAGCAAGCGCCGTTTGCTACCTACCGTCTTTCCCCGAACACAACGCACCCTCATTGTGACTATATCTGGTCGGAAGATAGTCTGCATTCGTCTGCATTCCCCCGAACACAACGCACACTGACAATGAATATATACAGAAGACTATCTTTCCGTCCAGATACTGCAGCGAACGATGTGTCTGCTGCTGTTTTCGGCCGTTAGAGACCGTTAACAAATCGCTTTCAGCTGTAGGCCATTGGAAACAAACTGCATACGGCTGGAAAATGGCAGCAGACAGTCCATACCCGTGGATTTACACCCAAGATTTATGTTTTACACTCACGCAAAAGACACACACACACACACACACACACACACAGACACAGAGAGAGAGAGAGAGAGAGAGAGAGAGAGAGAGAGAGAGAGAGAGAGAGAGAGAGAGAGA